CATGTTGTCAGGGGAACCATTCCCTGGAGACGGATATCATGCTTGGTAAAGTTGAGGGTCAACGAAGAAGGGGAAGTCCCTCAATTAGATGGATAGACACAGTGGCTGCAACGATGGGCTCAGGTATAGCAGATTGTGAGGGCACAAGACCAGGCAGTGTTTCATTCTGCTGTGCTCAGGGTTGCTATGAGTCGGAGATGACTCAACAGCACCTGACAACAACAACAGAGAGGGGATTGGTCAGTTTTGCCATCCCACTAGTCTTAAATTAGCCATCCCAGAGACCCAAAGGGGGACTTCATTACCACCAAGATAGAAGAGCCAGGAGTTGAACACATCTTCTGGACCTGGAGTCATTGTACTGAGAACCTCTTAGACCCAGCAGACACAGAGAGAGAGAGACAGACAGGCAGGCAGAGACTGTGCAAAACGGCAAGAAGCAGTAGCAGAGAAAGTGGCAGCAGAGCCAGGAGACCATTGCAAGGAGCATGGTAGGATTCCCAGCCCACGGAGCAAGGCAGCTATCAGTGTGTCTGCCAACCCACAGAGTTAGAAAGCCGAATGACTTTGGGCCAAGACATACTTGCAGAGCAGGGTGCCTCTGGGCACTTACTGGCAGCTTTATAACACTTGCCTAAGCAAGACTGATATGAGACTGAGAGGCTGAGAGGCTGAGGGAGAGGCCTGCCTATGGGCATGGCTGAGAATAAGTTGTCCTGATGGAAGAATTGTATTCTGAGTCATTCCTGATCCTGAATTATATAACTTGTTACTTCTCTAATAAACCCTACAATCATAAGTATTGTCTGAATTCTGTCTGGTCATTGCAATGAATTATCAAACACAGCAGAGAAGTAGACAGTGCCATGGGAGCGAAGCCTGTGTTAGAACTGGTAAAATGGTTGGAGGGTGGAGGTATGCCTGACCTCCACTCCACAGGATCAGTCTAAGGGTGATACTGATGGTGATTCTCTCTCACTTTCATGAAGTTACAGGAGGTCAGACATCCACTATGCCATTTTTACAACAGGTGATGGCTAAAGGATACAACATTTCTTTTTGAGGTTATGAAATGTTCTAAAATTAAGTGTGGTGATAGTTGCACTCTGTGTGAAAATACAAAAAAA